TAATACAAAAATTAGTTAATGGTATTCAGAACATAACCAATATTAACTAATACAAAATTTAATTAATGGGTATTTCAAGAATATAAGTTAATTTAGAAATCTTTATGGATATAAATGATATATTTTCAAATGAACCCCAGGTAGATGACAAGTACCAATATTCTTGTGAAAATAAAGATATTCTAGTTCATGGATGGATATCTACCGACCAGCAAATGGGGTTTTGGCTAATCACACCAAGCAATGAGTTTCGATCTGGAGGGCCAGTTAAACAAAATCTAACTTCTCATGTCGGTCCAACTGCTCTTGCCGTAAGTTGATATCGAATATATATACACACACACACACACATATACACATATATATAGGTATGTAAGAGTAGTAGGCATTAACAATATATGATGTATGATCAGGTGTTTCTCAGTGCTCATTATTCAGGGGAGGAACTGGTGCCAAAATTTACTACTGGTGAAATGTGGAAGAAAGTTTTTGGTCCTGTCTTTATCTATCTCAATTCCGCTATGAATGGTGATGACCCTCTTTCTTTATGGGAAGATGCCAAACAGCAGGTTTAATTTGTTTTCACTTAAAAAAAGATCATGTGAATTCTCAAACACAGATTTATATAACTATATGGAACAATCCATAATATACATATATATATATATATATTATACTTCAAAAAACATAATGTAGATTGATTTTCAGATGATTGTTGAAGTTCAAAGTTGGCCTTATACTTTCCCAGCTTCTGAAGATTTCCTAAAGTCAGATCAGAGGGGCAATGTGAATGGCAGATTCCTCGTCCGTGACAGGTTTGTACATGTGAAAAATGAACTCTGATAATTCTAATTAATTTGGTTTCAAATTTGAATTTTATCCGGTTCGCGTCATTTTCTTAATCAGATTATGCTAAACCAAAATAAAACTTTCGTAATTGCAATTTTCAGGTATGTTAAAGATGATTATATACCAGCGAGTGGTGCTTATATTGGCTTGGCTCCACCAGGAGATGCCGGATCTTGGCAAAGAGAATGCAAGGTGATCGTTGTAACTTTAGTCCTTGTAATTTAACAATCTTTCGGGCTCAAAATCACTTGTTTTACAAAAAAAAAAAAAAAAACTTTGCTATTTCATATGAAATTTAGTAAATTGTGTATATTTTGATATGGGACTGGAGTTTCACATATGTCTATAATTATTTTATGTTATTGATAATTTTAAATTATTAATCCAGCTTGTTAGCTTTTTGTTTTTTTTTTTATTTGTAATATATTTTTCAGGACTATCAATTTTGGAGTAGAGCTGACGAAGATGGCTATTTTTCCATTAATAACATACGTCTTGGTGACTATAATCTTTATGCTTGGGTTCCTGGATTTGTTGGAGATTACAAATATGATGCTATCTTCAACGTAACTCCAAGTATTACGTCTTAAAATTATCTAAACCTAGTCCATATATATTGTCTACTGTAAAAATGTTTTGTTTTGCTAATACAAATTAAAATGTATAGGTTGTGATATTGATATGGGTGATCTTGTTTACGAGCCTCCGAGAAATGGACCAACTCTATGGGAAATAGGCGTTCCTGATCGTTCTGCGGCAGAGTTCTACATTCCTGATCCAAATCCGAAATATATTAATAAACTTTTTGTTAACCATCCAGATAGGTTGGTTTTTTAAATTATTATTTGAACGGAGACGATACTATTAATTAAATTTTGTATTAATGCTGTAAAAAAGTAATTGTTAACTATGTTTGATGCATGCTGTATTGAATAATATAGATTTTACAGTGTAAAAAATAATTGATTTTTGTTTCTTCTGCTTGCAGGTTCAGGCAATATGGGTTATGGGAAAGATATGCAGAAGAATATCCAGATACAGATTTGGTCTACACGGTTGGCACTAGTGACTATACTAAAGATTGGTTCTTCGTACAGGTCAACAGGTGCTAATTTTTTTTTTTGTTTGTCTTTAAATTGTATTATACATTAACTGGCTGTAAATTAATATAAGACTTTGGGTTGTGATTGCAGGAAGATGGAGAACAACACATATCAAGGAACAACATGGCAAATTAGATTTAAACTTGATGTTGTGGATGAAAGCAGTGGGTATAAATTGAGAATCGCAATAGCATCCGCCACATTAGCGGAACTTCAAGTTAAGTTTTATTTATTTTTATTTTGTTTTAAAGTAACACTTAGAATTTGAGTTTGAATTTCATCGAATGATTTAAGGTACGCGTCAACGATCAAAGTGGAAAGCCAATATTTTCAAGCGGATTGATAGGGAGAGATAATTCAATTGCAAGACATGGAGTTCATGGTCTTTATTGGTTGTTCAATGTGGATGTAGCAGGTACTTGGCTTGTTAATGGTGATAATACAGTCTTCTTAACACAACCCAGAAATACAAGTCCTTTTCAAGGCATCATGTACGACTACATTCGATTTGAAGGTCCTTCCTCTTTTTATCTGAATAATTTAAGTAGCAATAAGGAGAGTTCGGTTCACTGATTATTTAGATATAACTAGTTTTTCTTAAATTATAGATTATGTAATTAATTTTTCTAAAAAAATTATTTATGTACTAATCAATTAATATAAATTAGATTTATGATAATCAGAATTTGTGTATTATACTTAAATTTCTATGAATAAAATTTCAGATAGGTGGTCTAGATTTTAAGATGAAACAGAACAGGAAGAAGTTCGGACTTTATAATATAATATATATAATTTTGTGGAAAAAAAAAAAAAAAAAAAAAAAAAAAGAGAGGACAAATTTAAATTAATTTCGGTATATAATTTTTTTATTTTTAAATAATTTTAATTTAAAAAATTACAATCAAATATATTTTTAATTTATAATATAATTTTAAAGTATAAGTAAATTAAATATAATTATTTTATATTTTTCACTGTTATAATTTTTTAAAATAAATATATTTTATAAATTAATTATATTTACAAACTATTCAGTCATAACTTATTTTATGATGCAATTGGTGGAAAGATATTATAAGAACGAGTAATGCAAGATAGTATATTATTATAATAACTAAGTTTCTCTAGTTCAGATAACTAGGAGGGGGGGGGGAATTAAAAATCTGATCTATATTTTTAATATAAAAAAATAGTTTACATATCTGCATTTAGTTCCAAGATCTTACACGATTAATTTATAGTTGTTTTTCTACCCGTAATTTTTCGCTTTTAAGAACGACGATTAACTTTTCTGTTTAAATTCCAATTTACGAATTTTAGCTTTTAATTTTATTATATTATTTCCTAAAAAATAATTAAAAAGCTACATTGGTCAAGTTGAATCTCAAAGTAAATTTAATTTTGTCATATTTAGTAGTATTTATATTTGGATTTACAAATTTAGAAAGTCGCAATTATACTTAAAAACAGAATTCTACGTAGCTGAATTTAATTTATTCATTTCAGTGGGTTCGTAATTAATTGTCTCCGAGTAAAACCCTAATAAATTTCCAAAAAAATCCGAAATAAAACGCTTTCAAGCAATTGAATTAATGGAGGATTCGAAATTTGAAATTGAGTGGAAATCAAATCTCTACATTTTAGTAATGGATTGAAATTGAGAAAAGAAATTCCTATTTAAACTGTATATACTTACTAATTTTCTAAAGAAGAAAATTCATTAAAACAGAAACTAACATGTCACAATATATTAACTGTTTAATTAATATAAAAAGTTTACAAAAACTAAAATTCTATTACAATATTATAAGTGTAATGTATTAATCAAGCCTTGTACTTTCTAATTTCTTTTTTTCTTTTTTTTTTTTTTAAAAGCAATAAAGTTAAAATCATTCAATAAAAAATATATTAAAATTAAAATTATTTCTAAAAGAGTTGTAGTAAGATTATAACAATAAGAAAACCAAATTTAGAAAAATTAATAAAACAAAAACAAGGCTTAGTTTCTAGCCCAAGAAAGGTAGGACTGAAAAATCTCCTTCGTCGTTGAACCTTTCCTTGGTCAAGATTATAAGGTAAGAAATAAACACAAGTCCTTCCCTGTCACCTTCTACTCTTTCCACTTTTTAATTTACCCTCTATAAATTCATAACTTTTTAATTCTGATCTCTCTCTCTCTCTCTCTCTACACATTGCAGGCCTCTGTAATGGAGACAGGCCGAGCTTCCTTTCACATCTTATCTTTTCCAAGTTCACGTGTTTATACCCGTTTACCCAGATTGTCATCAGGTAAAATAAAATTTTATTTTACCTTTTATAAAAAAAAAAAAGAAAAAAATTTACTCTCTTTTCTCCTTTTACTAAAATTATGTTTATATATATATATATATTTTAGTTAATTAATCAATTTAGAATAATGTCATTCCCTTGTCAGGATGTTTTGGAAGGTTGGTTAAGTTTCTCTTGGCGCTAACTTTCTCCCTGGAGATAGCAATAGCCTTGCCAGCATCAACTCTTGAGACACAACTCCGTGATCTTGATCAAAATGTATCTGAATCACTCGAGTCTATTCAGTTTTCTTCTTCTGCTAATTCTCTTATACGTCCTCATATATATACACATATATATTGGTTATACGTATATAGATATATGCATGTACATACATTTATATATATATATATATATATTCATGGAACTGAGATTGTTCTGTTCTGTTAAATTCAAAATATGCAATGTTAATTCAACTCGGAATGTAATGAATGCAGGTGGTTATGGATAACGGAATTCTCCAGGTTACGTTGTCAAAACCAGAAGGAAGTGTCATAGGAATTCGATATAACGGAATCGAAAATTTGCTTGCAGTTCAAAATAAGGAATTCGATCGAGGGTAACTCTCTTATTCTCTGTCAATGTAAAGAAACAATATTAAATAATTCTTTGTTTGCTTGAAGAATTCACAATTCCATTCATACAGGAATCATTCAATTTTCAGTTTTAGATGTAGTCATTATATATATATATATATATATATATATAATTAGTTTCATATATCGTAAGAGACGCTCCTCTCTTCTGTCTTCTTCTTGTTATTTATCATTAGTTTCATGTATACATATCATTAGTTCCACAGTGATTATAATCTATCACCCAATTTCAATTACTTCATATTAACTACGTAAGATTATACTCATTTTAAAAGTAACAAAAATGCCAATGGATGTACTCAACTCATTCTTTTCCGTGCTTTCTTAATTTGTATATTTAGTTACTGGGACCTGGTGTGGAATGCGGCAGGAACGAAAGGAACAAAAGGCAAATTGGACAGGTATATAATCATAACTACATATGCACACGTATATATATATATATATAATCCCAGCTCACTACTGTCCATAATTTATAAAGATTGAAATCATGTTATCAAGTATTATATCACGTTAATTGCTGCAAAGCAGAAAGACAAGAAAAACATGGGTAATTTATATGTTATTTGACTGTAATTATGCTTGAATTTTACAAATTATTAATCGAGAATTTTATGCAGGATTGAGGCAACAGAATTCCGGGTAGTAGTAGAAAATGAGGAACAGATAGAATTATCATTCACCAGGAAGTGGGATCCCTCTTTGGAGGGTAAAATTGTGCCTTTGAATATTGACAAAAGGTAGTTTGAGGATTTTTCTGCGTTAATTTCTCTAAAGTATTTTTCGATTTTAGTGTATCGAACAAAATGATGATTAAGGAGGATCTTTTTCTAGGTTTGTAATGCTTCGTGGTTCCTCAGGGTTCTACACCTATGCCATTTTTGAGCACCTAGAAGGATGGCCTGCTTTAGATATTGACAATATCAGGGTTGCGTTCAAGCTCAATAAGGAAAGGTAAAAAAAGAAACATCTCGTTTTAAGTCGTTAATAATTTTGTGTTTGTAAGTTATAGATTAATGTACGTGACATCCATAAGAGAGAAAAAATGATACTATATATCTTTAAAAATTTCTACAAATGAGTTCATTATTTATCAGATTTGTAGGTAATACATAATACATAATAATTGGCAACTTGCAGGTTCCGGTACATGGCTATAGCTGATAACAGGCAAAGATCCATGCCCTTACCCGATGATCGCTCACCCAACAGAAGTCAAGTGTTGGACTACCCAGAAGCAGTTTTACTCGTAGACCCTGTGGAGCCTGAGTTTCGAGGAGAGGTACTTATATTATTTCATAATAATCTTTACTCTAAAAGAAATTAAAAATTTTTATTTCATAATTTTTTCAGTAATAAACACATGAATTTTTATGGTTTTTTCTAGTACAATTTACGTAATTATACAGATGAATGCGTGTGAATTTTTGGAATGTAACTTAATTTTTCCATCTTGGTTCTTTTTCATTTCTAGGTGGATGACAAGTACCAATATTCAAGTGAAAGCAAGGATGTTAAGGTTCATGGCTGGATTGGCACTAAACCCTCTGTGGGATTCTGGCAAATAACTCCTAGCAACGAGTTTCGATCAGCCGGACCCGTAAAACAGTTCCTCACCTCTCATGTTGGACCTACCAATCTCGGAGTAAGCTTAGTTTCTTCCTTTTTCCGTAGCTGGAATCCTTGAATAATACCCTTCAATGGTACTAATTTCAGGCAGTTCAAAATTTTCTTAACAGATATTTCACAGTGTCCATTATTCAGGAGAAGATCTAGTCATAAGATTTGCAGAAAATGAACCATGGAAAAAAGTTTTTGGCCCAGTTTTCATTTATCTGAATTCTTTGTCCGATGAAAATGATCCGCTTTTGCTCTGGAAGGATGCCAATGATCAGGTCTTAGATATTAATTTTTGGCCTTATTTTCATTTATTTGATTTCCATAAGCATAATTGATTAACTTTAAAGTCTTTTTTCATTAAAGAAATGAAACGAATTAGATTACATTTACGATCTTTTCAATTCAGCTGGTGATTGAAGAGGAAAACTGGCCTTATACTTTCCCAGCTTCAGAAGACTTTCCAAGGTCTGATCAACGTGGCAGCGTCAATGGAAGATTACTTGTCCAAGATTGGTATTTGCTTGTTTTTGAGCTTTTTGCATTTGTACCTCTAAATAATTTCCTTCTTAAATACTCGTTATAATACTAATTCTGAATTCATCAGATTCTACGAAATGTATTTTTCTTAAATATGACAAAAATCTTAAATAGTCCCTCTACCTGTCTATGTTTGTTAGCGATAAATGCATACCTACAAATGGTGCTTACGTGGGGTTGGCTCCCCCGGGAGAGATTGGATCGTGGCAAAAAGAATGCAAGGTACTTTCTATTCGTTACGGTTTATGTTCTAAGAAGTTCTAATGTATAATAAGTTCAAAACCTTGGCATTTGAGATTATCACCCTGGGGATATATATTATCGAATCTAAATTTAGCTGAAGTTATAAAATCACACAGAATGTGTCAAATTAATATATTAATCTTGTATACAGGGTTATCAATTTTGGACAACGACGGATAATGATGGTTATTTCAATATTTCAAACATAAGAACAGGAAGTTATAATCTTTATGCTTGGGTCCCTGGTTTTATTGGCGATTACCGCTACGACATCCTCGTTAACATAACAGCAGGTCTGGTTTCTTCCCCCCTGTTCGTGAACTTTTACTTACTTGAAGAAATTGACACCATAATTGTGTGCTATTATTATACAGGTTCTAATATTCATTTGGAAGAACTTATACATGAGCCCCCTCGAGATGGCCCAACATTATGGGAAATAGGTATTCCTGATCGTTCTGCTGCAGAGTTCTATGTTCCCGATCCTAATCCGATGTACTTGAACAAATTGTATATCAATCATCCGGACAGGTTACTTTTTCTTCTGACTTTTTTTTTATAAACTCAAGATTTTTTCTTCTTTGTCGCTTTCTCGGTGAATAGGAACATCCCATTTGGTCATTTATTGACTGTCTTTGAGCTTTCGGAACCTGGACCATCTTCTCATATTGGCAGGTTTAGACAATATGGACTATGGGAAAGATACTCAGAGATTTATCGCAACGAAGATTTGATTTACGATGTTGATGTCAATGACTATAGAAAGGATTGGTTTTTTGCACAAGTCACCAGGTTATATATGTACTTGTTAAGAATTGTTTTTAAAGGGCTAATAAAATGATGGTAATAAACTTCTAAGACAATTTTCTTCTGGATAATAGGAAGAAAGAGAACAACATATATGAAGGAACAACGTGGCAAATCAAGTTTAAACTTGACAGTGTTGATGAAAGTGGAATATATAAACTAAGATTGGCTCTAGCTACTGCTCAAGCTGCTGAATTACAGGTAAGGAACTTTGTGATTTTGGATTAAATTAAGAACAAAACTTAATCTGGCTTTATTTTGTTTTTCAAAGGTTCGGGTTAATGACGATGATTTAGAAAAATCTCCTCTATTTTCGAGTGGAAAAATCGGGAAGGACAATACGATTGCAAGACATGGAATTCATGGTTTGTACTGGGTGTATAACGTGAATGTACCTGGGAGTTTGCTTTTGAATGGCAACAATACAATTTTCCTTACACAACCGCTAAGTACCAGCCGTTTTCAAGGTATCATGTATGATTACATTCGTTTTGAAGAATCTTCTAATTCCAGTTTATTAAAAAATTCTACATGCTTGAGATTTTAAGGGAAGAAGCAATTCTATAATACTTGAAAAAAAATTAAATATCTTTCATTATTATGAAATACAGAGTTTATATATATATATATATATATATATTTTCTCTTCTCTACATTGTTTCTTGACTTGCAAGTTTCTCATTACCATGTTAACATTTTGTAATCCTCCGTCATTTTGCAACACAATGCATTAGTAAATATTTAGTTTCTTAAAAAGAGATAATTACTACGTATTGAAGGTATAATTTAATTTTTTAATTTATTTTTAAAAAATACCCCAAACAAATAGATGAGGAGATAAAAATAATATATTATAGTGCTTATTTCTAATATTATTTATACCAAATAAGATTGTAGTTAGTTAAAAATTAAATTTCATTTTTATATTTAGAAATTTTAAATAAATTATTATTATATATTTAAAAATATAATGGTATCAAATCTTTAAATATTTCTTAATTCACGGTCAAGTCGGATCCATTGACATTACCAACAGAACAGGCCCTTGGATAAATTGGAGAGCAAATCCAAGGTCCAACTCTTTCTTCCTTAATTCATGCCGTCTCTCGTATATACATATATGTACATATATATATATTTCTAACGTTGGAGTAAATTTTAACTCATACAATTTGGTAGAAAATATATATATATATATATATATATATATATGGATTGTAATCAGCTTAACTGGATGAAATTATATAAATCATGTTGAAATTTCAATCTACATTTTGTTTATCACAACATAATTGAAATTAGTAATAGTATTTCAAATACACTTTTAAGATAATAAATTACGTCAGAATGTAAATAAATAATCAGCAGGTAAAAAAATTTACTTTTTTTTTACTTTATATGAAAACCAAAACTTACATTTCTAATATAATAATAGTTGGAATTAAAACACATTAATTCATTGAAAATCACTCTTTAGGAACATCTCATTATGCGGCATCGCAGCTTATTCATTTTAAATTACACGTTAAAATAAAAAGGGTCTTTTCAAGAATGACAATATTGAAAATAATCATCCATAAGGTCTAAATCCACCACCATACTTTGACCTAATTTTTTAAATAACATAATTCTTAATCCTCAAGGAGGGTGGATAAATTTTTCCACTTATATAGTCAAATTTACTAAATGAATCTACTAAAAGTATCCAATTATTTATGTAACACACACACACATATATATATATATATATATATATATATATGAGGGATAATATTAAAAAATTATGTTTATTAGGATATTTAAATGCGGAAACGAAATAAAATATTAAAGTTTACATTCTTACACAATAACTTAAAAATACTTAACAACATTACAGAATTAATTCTTTGAAAGAAATACGAAAAATAAAAAAATAGAAAATATCTACCATCTACTCGCACTCTTCTTGCATATCGGGCTCTGAAACCTGATTCTCTTAATCTTAAATAGTTAAATAAGGGATGAGTTATACTATTCCAGTAAGGATATCACACTATATCACCAGCACATAAGTAAATGTTGGTATAAAATCAAAACAATTAATGAAACACTAAATTTAGCAAATTCGTTTATCAATAATAAAATCATTTAGCGTTCACTTACCATAATGGAATTTATGAAAACAACATATAGAGACAATAATACCATACAGATCATAATTTCACGAACATATCATAAATTTATATCCTTTAACAATAAACTAAATCATAACTATTTCTTATTTAACCAGTCAACTAGTATCTATGGGGGTTCTTAAGAGTGTATTCGCTACACGTGAACCATTTTCTTTAACAATCTCAATTATAGGGTCGTCTCCATACCTTATCCCGTATAAGCGTCAAGACATTAAACCTCAATATCCCGTCCGCTATGAGGGTGAAGTGGGCCATCCTCATACCCCGTCCGGTATGAGTGCCAAATTACCAAGTCACCATACCCCATCCGGTATGAAACAACGTTCACGGTAGGGTTCCCTATGTATCCAGTCCGTCTACCATCTCCCAAGATATCCAGTAAGACTGTCGTATCATCTATTCATTTAAATCACACAATTTTCTTACCGTTTAACATTCCTCTTTTTCCGATTCAGCAGTAAACACATCAATTAAACATACATGCGTTCAAGGCCATAAAATAAATAAGATATCATCATGCATATAAACTGTAAAATCAATCAACAAACAGTAGTAGATAATTTCTGATTCTGACTCCATTAACAATCAGTAATTATTTATGCACATTTATTTAATTCGTACAAAATACCGTACTATTATTTATTTAAACTTCAATTCTATGATAGGAAATAGAGTAAGGAATCCTTACTCGATTTGACGCCGAAAAGCTAAACGGTTTACTGTGCCTACGGGCGGTCCCTAGGTTCCTTAAATTTTTTCTCTGAGAAGTGAAACGTGCTTATAATACCTACAAATATTTCAAATAAACCCAAAATTAGTCCCAAGGCCCACTCGCCAATATTAAAAATCCAGCACGGCAGCTCCGCCGTGCTTCGGCGACGGCGCAGCCGCCCGCGACGGCGGTTTGCCTTGGGTCTGCCGTTTTCAGCTGAATTCGATCGATTTTATATCGATTCCTGCAAGTACACACGCTAAAGGGCCTCAGTGGGCCGAAAAAATATGAAAAATCGGAACTCATCGGCGGCAGGGCTCTCTGGTGCGGCAGCTCCTCCGGCTCACGTTACGATTGGGTGTTTCGTTTCGGTCAACCTGTAGAGAAAAAATGGTGATCATAATAGTGGAAAAATTATGTGAAACGAGAATCGAAAAGGGACTTATCGGAGGTGGTTTGTGAAATTTTCTGCAGCGCCGGCGTCGGACTTCGTTGGTATTTTTCGGCCAATTGGCCGGTCCTTTCACTCCGATTTGGCCATGAGTGAGCTTAAAATTGAATTTCGTACAAAAGAAAAAGTTTTTATTTTTTTTGGCGGTCGGAAATGGTTATCTATACCTATATGTTTTTTATCTGGGTCGTTCATCGCGATTAAATAGGAAGTGTTACGTATAATTTACACCTAAATTTGTATGATCCAATGTGTATGAATTTAATAAGGTATAATTCTTTTTTAAAAAAAAATATGAATTCAGATCAAATAAATAGTTCAAATTAGCTTGAATAATCAAGTCGGACTCGGATTTAATTTTTCAAAATTTATCTAAACTCGGCCATTTAAATATGTATTATATCTTAATTTTTTTTATTATTACTAATACATTTACATTTATATTTTATATTAATAATATAATTATATTTATATTAATATAATAAAATAATTATATAATTAAATAATCTACAAATATGATGTAGGAGAAAAAATAAAAAAAGAAAAGAAATTTAAACCCGCTCAGATTCAAGTCAAGAAGGATTTAAATTTACTCTTCATATGAACATCCTATCAGTAAATAAATATATATGATTAAGACTGACATTTACTTTAACGTTCTGTACAAGTTGGTATATTGTAACGGCCCCGGAATGTTAAAATGAAATGAGTATTTAAATATATCAAATGCGGAAGCGAGATCAAAATTTCAGTTAACATCCCTTACACGAAAACCAAAAACGTACTTAAAATATAAAAGGTTAAACTAACTAAAAGAGAAACTCGAAAATAAAGCTATGAGTGTGACTACAGAGTCTCTAGGCATCCATTTCGTCGTCCTCCTGCGGAACGGGCTCGGGAACCATGTCTTCCTAATCTGAAATGGTTAAATAAGGAGTGAGTTACACTAGCTCAGTAAGAACATCACGATATCTCACCGTCACGGAGGTAAAGGTGGGTAGAAAACACAAAGGACCCATGGAGCATGTTTTACAACAAATCCTTTTATTTATGATAAAACCTTTTACCATCCACTTACCTCGGTGGAATTTATGAAAACAATATAAGAAAAATAATAACATTATCATAATTATGGAATAATATAAGCTGTAAAACATAACACTTATCACGCCTCTTGTAATTCAATCATTATACAACATATCTTTTTCTCATTTACCAGCCTACTAGTATCCGTGGGGGTCCAAAGGGGTCCCGCTACCCGTTAACCTTTAACATTCATAATCAGTTTCCAGGGCCGTCCCCATACCCCGTTCGGTATGGGCGCCAAAACCATAAACCTCAATACCCCGTCCGGTATGAGGGTGAAACGGGCCGTCCCCATACCCCGTCAGGTATGGGCGCCAAAACCATAAGATCTCCATACCCCGTCCGGCATGTGAGACCACAATCCCGGTAGGGTTCCCTACGGACCCGGTCCGTCCACCATCTCCCAGGATATCTAGTCAGGCTGACCCCCATAATACAATTATCAGTCTACACAATCTTTCATTTTCCTTTCCCTCAGTCAGCATCATCAATTCACATTTAAAC